CTCACAGAGATCCCCCTGCCTCTTTTGTTCAAGTTCTAGAATGATAAGCGTGTTTTACCATACCCAGCTTTGGTTTTCAACATCCATTCAAAGGCTCACAAGGTAAAGACTTATTTTTTGATGGCTAATAGGATGCTGTGGAGACATTCAGAGATGGGGTCTAGTGTAAGACTTCTGGTCACTGGAGGTGTGACAATGAAAACAACGGAAAACACACCCTTGTTTCTGGTTACTGGGGGTGTGCCAACGAAGGTGGAAAACACACGCTTTGTTTTTCTTGCACTAGCAGTGTATTCCCTGATATGATGCAGTACCCCATCACAGGCCCAATAGTAACAGGTCCAATCAGTTATAAAAAGATACCTCCAAAACTGGAAATTAAACCATCTCTCTCTTTAAGTTGGTGATCTCCAGCATTTGTTACAATGACAGAAAGGTGGCTGACACTAAAGGAAATTAGTAAAAGGCTAAGTAAACACCAGTGCAGCCAATGCTGCCAGATAGAAATTTAAACAAGACTCACAATGGTAACCTCAGAACAACACACCAGCCTTAAATTTGTATTCTTACTAATATAATTCAAAATTCATGAAGCAAAGTCAACGGCAAAAAAAAAAAAACAAAGTGAAAATGAATCCACAAACAGAGCAGATTTAAATATATGTTTCTGACCTATTCAGTAAAACAAAGGCCAAAAGACAAGGAGGTAGATGATTTGAATAATGTAATTGACAAATGGGAACCTATTAAATCTACAGCTCATATACATTCCAAACAACAGAATATATCATTTCACAAGTATGTTCAATGCTTTCCCAAAAGGTATCATATATTGGGCATAAAACAACTTGAAAGTTTTCATATGCATAAGGAATACAATCTCTGATAATAATGGAATTCAAATAGAAAGAATAACCATTAGAAAATTCTCATTTATTTGAAATAATGTGTGTGTGTGTGTGTGTGTGTGTGTGTGTGTGTGTGTGTACTGGGTATGTGTATCTCTCTGTGTATCTATCTTTCTCTGTGTGTGTGTGTGCGCGTGTGTGTTAGTGTATGCTGTGTGTTAGCAGGCATGCATGTGCAGTCCTAGAAGCCATGTGCGTGGAGGTCAGAGGCTGACATTCAGTGTCTTCCTCAATCACCCTGTGTTCTTTTTTGAAGTAGAATCTCTTACTAAACCCAGCGCTCACTGATTAACTAGAATGGGTTGCCAGCAAGCTCTGGGTATCCTCCGGTCCATACTCCACTCAGCATCAGAGTTGCAGATACGTGCTGCCAAACCCATCGTTGTATGTGGGTACTCACAATCTGCACTCAGGTTTTCATGCTTGCATGGCATGGGCTGTATTCACCATCCTATCCTCCCAGCTCTGAAATAATAAGTTTCTAAGCACCTTAAGTCAAATGAGAAATCATAATGGAAATCAGAAAATATTTCAGCTCGATAGTTATAATAGTAAAAAGGATAGGAAGAAAAAAAGTCAGAAGTTTTGGAAGAAAAACTGGTTGTTTGGAAGAAACTAGCAGTGTGTGTGTGTGTGTGTGTGTGTGTGTGTGTGTGTGTGTGTGCAAACTGAGCCTCTCTCTTAAATTAGCAGGAAAACAATAGCTTAAAGCTAAATAAAATGAATGGAAGGATAATGAACATATGAGAAGAAATCTAAATTTTAAAAACTTTTGTAGATTCACAAGAAACAAAAGCTGGTTTTAATGGAGCAAAGGAAGGATGATTAGTAAACAGAAGAGGGGAAGGAGGGTGAGAGTGAGTTGCTTATTAGAAATGAAAAGTTTGTGCTGGCACATCCCCGAAGGGCACTGGAAATATCACGAAGTGATGCTAAGAATTTCATTGTGCCAAATTCTTTGCTTGACAAATTCAGATGAATGCTCAAATTCTTTCTAAACACAATTTATCCAAAACGACATTAGAAGAAGCAGAAGTATAAATTTTCCTACCCATGATGGTCATTTTATCAAAACTTTAAGAACACTGCTCAACACATTTAGATCCAGAAATAATCCTGTAGTAAATTCTTTAAGCATTTAACACCATGTGTTACTAATATACATTTAAAAATCCAAGAATTTCCTCCAAAATCTAACAATAAAGAATAAAGCCAGTAATCTATAGTAGTGTTCAATGAAAACTCTATGCAAAAACTGAGTGTGGTGCTGCACACTTTTAGTCTTAGCACTCAGGAGGCAGAGGCAGAGGCGGATGGATCTCTGTGAGTTCAATGACAGCCTGGTCTACATAGACAATAGGAGGTCTACATAGACAATAGGAGGCCATCAAGAGAAAAACAGTGAGACTTTCTCAAAATGAGCCAACAAATAAACACATTTTAAAAGTTGCAAGCCAAGTATAACCCAAATTCAGTGATATTTTTTAAAAAGTCTGAAAGCACACACATATATACAGTTACTTGCTTTACGACAAATCAATCTGTTACTGTCAAGATATGTTTTCAATAACTAACTCTTGACTGATTAGGTGCTTTTATGGAAAAAATAAATAAACCCTAGCTCACATCTCAGATCACCCACAAAGAATAATTGGAGATAAACTACAGCTTTAGTGCCAGTAAAGAAACAACGAAGCATAGGGCAGATTTGGGGAACTAGGTACACAGTTTTCTTCAACAGGACTCAAGTACTTACTACAAATGTTTTTGCTTTGATGACTAAAACTGAAGGGGATTAGCTGGTTGTGATGGCGAACACCTATAAGACTAACAGTTGGGAGACTAAAGAAGCAACAGTGCTGTGAATTCGAGGCCAGCCTAAGTTACAAAGTGAGACCTTGTCTCAAAATATGTTATTTTTTAATGACGATTAAAATTAAGTAAAGTGAAGCGGTTATTTTTATTAGAATCCCTCATTATCAAAGTTAAGAGGCAATCTAAAAAAGCAGAGACAATATTTGAAGTTCATTATAACTGTGAAGAATGCATATGTATATCCAGAATATAATAAAAACATATGCCTTACCCCCAAATGAACAAAACACCAGAAGACTTTATGAAAGAGAAAAAGTGAATGGTCAGGAAGGAAAAATAAAGTCTACAATGAGAAATGTCAAATTTACCTTATAATGAGAAATTTTAACATAACTTTCTGTATTTGATAATTATTGCAGACAAAATTTTAATGAGGATCCATAAAATTGGAATGTATAATATTTTTAAAAGTATACATATAACATCATCTAATTAGGCAGTGTACATTCTTTCCAACCTCAAAGGAAAATCCTAGTTCTAGTAACTCAACAGAGTCAGTATCCTGTTCTTTGACCACAGGGTGAAATAGGCTGCATTCACTACATGATGACAAAAGAAGCGTCTTATGACCAAATAGGAAGTGAAAAGTGCATTTCTGAACTAAGAAAATGTCAGCTGATTTTCTTTTCATAAAAGTGAAAAAACCTGAGGTCAAACCACATCACGGAGCAATAAAAAGCTCGGCATAATGGCATGTGTAATCCCAGAGCTTGGTAAACAAGCACAGGTATCTGCAGCTCACTGGCTAGCCAGCGTAGCCCAATTGGTGAGTTTAAAGTCCCAGGGAATGGCCTTTTCTCAACAGAGAAGATGGACAGATCTTGGAAAAACAATACCTCTGGTCTCTGTATGCACACTCTGTCACAGACAAATGTGAACACACTGCATGTTCAGACACAATACACATTTCTAAAGAAAATGTGAATAAAACAGGACCATAGTGATAATTATAAATTCTTAAGGCTGTGTAATAAGAATCTTCATGTCAACGCTTGTGGGATACAGGTAAAATGCAGCAATGTAGCCTTAAAACTTCAGAAGCTTAGGAAGAAAATTCTATCAACGAGCTAAGTAAAAACTAGTGAGGTAAAAAAGTGTGTTTGTGAGTGAGTGTGTGTATGTGTGTGTGTGTGTGTAAGAGACAATAAAGTACACTGAATTCTGGCAAAACAATTAAAACAAAGTGGGAATAAAAATTATGCACATATTGCTAAAGGAAAGGTCATATTAGTAGAGATAGAAAGATTTAAACCAATAATGTCTCTATTCTATTAATACTGAATACATATGCACAGTTTATCAAAATTGACTCCATAAGAAAACCTGTATTTTAAATAATGAAATCGTTTTATTCTAATTAACTTACAAATGAAAACATACATCTAATTTTGGAAAGGCTCAAGCCTTTAATCCCAGCACTCAGGAGGCAGACGCAGGAGGATCGCAGTGAGTTCCAGTCTGGTCTACAAAGTGAGTTCCAGGATAATGAGGAATGTTACACAGAGAAACTCTATCTCAAAAAAAAAAGATAAAAACAAACACACAAAACAACCCAACAAAAAGGCATTCCCTATAATTATTAAGGTAATTAAACCAACAAGCGTAAAAATCCCCTGAACTCCAAGTCCAGAAGGTTTTACTAGTCAAGTATTGAATGATTGCAACATTGTACAGATTTTTCATAATAGGCAAAGAAAGGACACTACCCATCCTATTTAGAGATGACACCGCCAGCAGATCAGGATTGCACAGAAAGGGAAAACTATAGACCAATGTTTGGCTTATACAAATATAAATAAAGCTTGTCTTTACATGCTATGAATAAATGCCACATACACTAGAGAGGGTTCATTCCAGAGGTATCCGCTAGCTTACTATTAGAAGTTAAATGCTATGCCTTGCCACCTAAATGTATTTAAAGTAAGATAATTACGTGATACATTTTTTTAGAAAAGGTTTATTTTATCTTATTTTATAGTGTGTCTGTGTGTGTGTGTGTTTAGCTATGTGCATATGAGTGCAGGGTCCTACAGAGGTGAGAGGTGTTGACTCCTCCTAGAGCTGGAGTTACAGGGGACAGCGAGCTACTCCAAACCTCAGCAAGATAAGTACACACCCTTCACTGCTGAGCCAACTCCCCTCCCCGTGAATTACACGATGCTTTTAATAGCCGCAGAAGCAACCAACAACGCATCCACTTATGATAAACATACTTACCAAATGAAGAATTTACCAGGTAACTGTGTAAAAGTGGTGTTTAAAGTCTACATAGTAAAACCTTCGTAAGGTGTGTACAGTACTGATGGTCCACGCCAAAGCAGGAAGGCAGGAAAAAAGAAATTAAACATTAAAGATAGGAAGATAAAGAGAGAAGCAAAATTGTCATGATTTTTAGTTATGTTATTGTTCATGTGGCAGATTTGAAAGCAGTTACAGGTAAATAAAATGATTAATAAATTCTATCAAATTTGATTGGCAAGTAATTATTATATAAAGACAAGTATATTCATAAGAGTAGGGAACTTAAATTTATACAAATATGGATAATTTGATTCATTGGAATAAGCAATAAAGTAATCAGTTCTCATGTGGATTTAGCCTGACTGCCATATGCAAAGCTACTGGCAGTCTTAGAAACCACTGGAAGACAATAGAGCAAGTTAATTTATAACACTATTGTGTCCTGTGTGTGCCTGAGTGTGTGTGGCATGCATGTGTGTGTATATCTATGTTTGCATGCGTATAGATGCACTTGTTATAGGTTTACATGTACATGTGTGTCCCTGCTTGTTGATGTCTGTAGTGGCATCTGGCCTTGCCAGTGAACCTGACAAAGTAGCCACACCCTTTGGGTGTGGTTTCAGATCATGACATGATCCCTTTAAGGTAGAGTAGCTGCAGGCTCCTTTTCTCTTGCTCAGGAGGGCAGAGAATGCATCTTCTGGAGCAGGAACACCGTGGTGGTTATTTACTCTTATCTGTGTAAGTGATTCCCCCCAAGACACCTATTTATCTTTATCCTGGGTCTGGTGAACTCCTTAATCCCCTGCCTTCAGATGTCATGTGGTTATGGGTGCTTGGGAAATGAATGCTGGGAGCTGAACTCCAACCTTCAACAAGAGGAGTGCACACCCTCAATGACTGAGCCATCTTTTCAATAGCCACAGAGACAACTGGTGAAATTGTTTCCACTGTATTAACCGAGGCTGGGACCTGAGATTGAGAATTTGACATTGTAGCAGGTAACCTTGCCTTGTGGTGGGGGAGTCCCTTGTCTTCTCTATACTGGGATTACAGGCGGTCAGCCACACCAGCCCAGCTTTTACAAGGGAGCTTGGTACTAAAGCCCTGTGACCCTCATACTTGCACAACAAGGCCCTTTATCCATGGAACTGTCTCTCCCGCCTCTTGAAGATACAATTCTTAAATAAGACACACTATAAAAAAAGTACTAGAAACTTTGAATTTCTCACAGCGAGACATGGAGAGATAAAGAGAAAGAAAATGTCAGAAGCAACCTGGAGGTAGATATTTGCAGCGTATACTATGAATTAAATATTGATTGAGATATGGATTATATGAAGGAAAGAATCCAAGGTCAATTAGGTGCAGAAAAACAACTTACTAGGAGAGCACATACAAACTTGGTTGTCAGAATTGCAGACAGAAAGCCGAACCCTTTAGCATCACATTCAAAAGCAGCTTGCTTATTACCTAGCTTCTCTAGAGCTGTGTGGACTGCAGTCTGGTTACTCTTTACTTTATGTCTACTACCCACATGTGAAGGAAAATTAGATGAGGTCTCCTGGGCAAACTGGGGCGAGGGGGGGTGGTAAAGGGGATGGGAGTGAGGATGAGAACTTGGAATGGGATTGTTGAGGGGGGGGGAGGAGGGGTGGAGTGGAAGAGCAATGAAAGAGATATCTTAATAGAGGAAGTCATTACAGGTTTAGGGAGAAACCTTGTGCTAGGGTAATTCACAAGAATTCACAAGGATGACCCCAGCTAAGACTCCTATCTGGGGAAAGGATGCTTTAACTGGTCTTTCCCTGTAATCAGACTGGTAAATACCCAACTATCATCATAGAGCCCTCATCCAGGAGTTGATAAGACCAGATGAAGAGATTCACACCCAAGCACCAGGCTGAGCTTTGGGAATCCAACTAAAGAGAGAGAGGAGGGAATGCGTAAGTAAGGGAGGTCAAGATCATAATGGAGACGTCTACAGACACAGCTGAAACTCATGAACTCTAGACCTAAACTGTGGTAGATTCCATGGGACCAAACTAGGCCTTCTGTATGTGGGAGACAGCTGTGAAGGTTGGACTATCTGAGGGGCCCCTGGCATTAGGACCAGGGTCTAGCCCTAGTAAAAGGGCCCATTCTCTATGGTGGTAAGGTCATGTCAACCTTAATGCATGGAAGAGGGGCTTGTTCCTGTCCCCAACTTAATGTGCCAGACTTTGGTGACTCCTTATGGGAGCCCTTACCCCTGAAGAGGAGTAGAGGGAGGGAGGTGGGCTAAGGAGGAGGAGAGATGGGTAGGAGGAGGGGAGGGAGGGAGAGCTGAGGTTGGAATATAAAACAAACCTTAAAGAAGAAATAAATTATAAAAAGAAATGATAATTACAACAAAGCAGCTTTGTTAGCTGTATGGATGCTAAGTAAAATCCTAGCAGAGAGCAACTACTCCCTACTTGACAGACTGACTAAAAATAGAATGCATTATGCCGGGTCTGCAGAGTGTCAAGATCGCTGACCTTTTGCTGGAGGAAGTGCCAGCTAGTTTGGCATGAGAGAGGAAGAGCTTGGAAGTGACCTAATAAAGTTGAATATATATATATATATATATATATATATATATATATCTTATGACCTACTCATTTTACTCTTGGATGCAAACTCTAGAGAAATACCTGAGCATTTAGTGCATTTAGTCATGAATACTGGAACACATTATGCAGTTGCCACAGTAGGCGGTCTTTAGAATGCTCATCTGAAGGCATCAACGCCCTTGCAAAATCTACCCCAGTGTGTGTGTGTGTGTGTGTGTGTGTGTGTGTGTGTGTGTGTGTGAATCACTTCTAAGGATCAGAAAAAAATGACAAAAATAATGAGGTGTCACTTTTGAGATTAGGAAAGGAAAAAGATCTGGCTCTTGCCTTTCTTTTGGCAAGCCCTCCCTCTGGGGTGTGGGTGAGGGGAGTAAGATTCTATGTCGCAGCAAGTCTTTGTAAAGAGGCCCACACTGCAAAGGAAGATATGCCTAGCCAAAGCCAGAAAGGGCTCAACTCTCCAACAATCCCGAGTCAGCTCCTATGACTCTTGCGGTGGTTTCAGCCTGAGCCAATGGCCCTTGACTACAACATGATCTCCAGTCAGAGATCCCTGTTAAAGCCCCGAGCCGACTTTAGACCCACAGAAACTGGGAGATGTCGAGGAAATATTAGAAGTGGTTTCTTGTTCTTTATTATTGACTTTATACTGCCTGCTGCTGGGATAGTTTGCCAGTTGAACGACAAACACATCTCCCAAGCTAGAAACCCAGATGTCCAACAGTGGAATAAATACAGGGTATTAAAACACAAGAAATAAAAATGAGAGAAGCATAAAGAAGGATGACTCTCATAAAAGCAAGAATAGACAGGATAATATTCACGATAGGAAAGTAAGACACAGACATAAGCGCAGCACACATATATTTTACACGCAGACACAAAACTGTGTAAGACGTCAAGAAAGATGATTAAGAGGAAAACCACTAAGGACCCCAAGTCTCAGGGAGGGAGGAGCAGGGATGAGCCCCTTCAGTACAGCCTCCAAGGTCCCAATGTCCATTCATTTCTTATCTTGTAGTTTGGACCACTTTGAGAAGATACATATGTTATTTAAAAAATATTGTAAGCAAAGCAAAACAGAACGTGAGTCGCTGAAATGCAATCAGTTCACAAATCCTTCGGAGAACAGACAGGTTGGTCAGCCAGTAGACATTAGACTCTCGTCTTCACATCCATTTAAGGGCTTCTGCCTCCAGGTTTTTGTCTGATTGTCAAGATCACCTTTTTTTCCCCCCTCCCACTTTGTCCTTTGAGATTCCCTGTTCCGCGGGTTGAACCAACCTAGAAGGCCAGCTTGGGGGGGGGGGAGGCGGGTGGTAACGTGCTTATCTGACAGCTGGATAATGGAGAGCATAGCTACTGCAGGCCAAAGGCATTCCAGACCATCAGGGCTCTCTGGAATCCCCGGCAGCCATGCCCACAGCACCGGGCAGGCCCTCATCCTCCCCACCCACCTCTCAGCGCAAATTCACTCCAGGCTCAAAGCACAGGGAGGCAGAGGACTTTTACCTGGGAGCTGGGGTGGGCAGGAAGCAAAACGGAGACTGTGGCCCTAAAAGAATTCTACCTTGGAGCCGCCCCCTCCCCTCCGGTGGGTGTGATTACGTCACCCCTGAGGTCCCTTTGATCGACGGCTCCCTGCTGAACGCAAACCACTTGCAGCTAGGAAATGAGACTGGGGGTAGGGGGGTGGCGTCCTGGCGGGCGAAGGGACAACAGTAAGGACACCCTAAAGGAGATACACTGCCCGCGGAAAAAGCTCAGAAGCCGGCGGAGAGGACGATCTCCACCAAGGAACACCCCAGCCACCTCGGCACGCCCAGGGTGCCCACCCCCAGCCCTCCCCACCACGCAGTCCCCCCTCCCCCAGGACACTCGCCACCCTTCCCCTTTCCCGCGGAGCGCCCCGCGCTTCTGGCAGTGGCCTTAGTCACCGCAGGCCTCTTTCGGGTGCAGACCCGGGCCGCTGACCCCCAACTCACTCTTTGCCTCGCTGCTCCCCGAAGTGCAAGGTTCTGGGGGGAGGGGCACAAACGAAACAGCTACGGAGGGGACGCCAGTGGTTCCCTAGAGCGGAGAAAAAGCTTCGGGCCTAGAAGGGAATGGGCGGTGGACCAGAGGCTGGGATTGGGGGGGGTGGGGGCGACGACGACGTGGAAAGTCACAGGCAGAGACGGGGGAGCAAGCGATGGGCAGGCCCCGAGAACTGATTGGCCACGCGGGAGTGTGGGCGGTGCTCGGCTCTCCTGCCCCTTTTCATCTCAGAGGCCCTCCTTCCTGTCAATTTCTGCTCCAAGATGCAACACTCTTCATCTGGGATGGAGATGCAGTTCCACCTCGTTGGGTGTGCAGCCGGGCCATTTGTTAAATAAACAAACAACAAACAAACAAATAATCCTTAACTCTATGAACGGATAGAGCGCCGATGAAAGCAACAGATCTTTATGGGAAATAATGCGCCCTGTATTAAGAGAAGAGTTAAATCTATGGGTCCTGCATTTATTTTAACTAAAAAGTCAAGTTTTGGTAAAACAGAGTGTGATTATAAGATATTACTAAGAGGAAGGCAAAGAGTGAAAACGTCGGCTCCCGGTTCTCGCATCCACAACCACGGAATTGCTACCTGCTCCACGTGACGAGTTAGGAAAACCAGAGAAAAGCCTGGGATTTTAAAAATAAGTTTTGCTGCATTCCCCCCCCCCATTACACGTATTTATTTATTTGCATGTGGTGTGTGTGTGTGTGTGTGTGTGTGTGTGTGTGTGTGTGCTCATGCCTGGGGGTGGGGAGCGGAACTTGCTATGTGCGAGCATGAGTGCACTCTGCCACAGCCTGTGTGTGGAGGTCAAAGGACAACTTGTGGGAATCAGTTCTTCCCTTGCACAGTGGAGGTCCTGGAGAGCAAACCCGGGCTGTCAGGCTTGGCAGGAAGAGCCTTTGCGCACTGAGCTGCCTCAAGGCCCCAAACCTCTGGATTCTGAAGCTGTTGCATCTTTTGTTTCATAAGCTAGGGGGTGTATGAGCTAATAGTCGCTGCTACAACAAATTGCCACACATGGAGGCAAATTAAGCAAGACACTTGGGGCATTTTATAGTTCTGTGACGCCTGGCATGTGTCCCACTGGGCAGAGCCGCCACGCTTTCTGGAAGACGAAGGGGGAGAATTCATTTTCCTCCCTCCTCCAGCTTCCAAGAAAAGTGTCAAAATGTTGTGAATTTCCCTGCTCAGGACTCTTTCCTGTGTACAGAGACAGTGGGCTCGTCACCCCACACTTTGCTCATGCAGTTTCTTTCTCCCAGTTTCCTTAAGAGACCCTGGTACCCATTAACTGTTTCTATCCAAATGATCTCACAGTTGAAGGTCGGATAACTAGCAGGGCTAACTCCGTCTGCACCATGACTTCTTGGTCCTGTGACATTACATTGTCACAGGCTCTAGGATGGTTTCCAGGGGGCCGAGTGTCTATCACGAAAGGTTTGTTGGTCTTTTATCTTTTTGTCCTGCTCTGTGACACCTGTCCCTACCAGGGCCAGCCCAGCACTTTATCAGACCTCTGCCGTGGGTGACTGCATTATACTGTCACACTGACCTCACTCTACTGTAAGTGGGACATCCCTCTTGTATTGTGGGGCTCCTTGTCCCTGGCCCTCTGCTTGCTGGTAAGTATCTCAACAGCTAATCCTTCCGTGGGGTCTTAGTAACAGCCCCATCCTCCGCCAGTCCCTGTGGAAGCTTCTTCCTCTGACTGTTTGCTTACTCTCAAGTTCTTTGTCAGCTGGTTCCGTGTCCTAGAGAAAAAAGGAAAAGGAGAGCCAGAACCAGACTCCTCTCCTAAGTTGTACCTCTGGCAACCTCCAGGAACTTGAGAAGACTTTTCTCACACTCTCACAGTTGGAAACCTGAGTGGTTGCAGCCTGGTCCTCTTCTACCCTGGTTCTAGCTGGCCTCCCTCCTTCAACCTCTTTTCCAAGGTCCATATCTCTCATGCGGTTCACTCCTCTTTCTCCCCCCTGGGTTTGTTCAGCTTCCCCACTGAGGTAGCTGGCTCTGCTGGCATCCAGCATAGTGGGCAGATCATATCAACAGAACACTTGCCTTGTTCTCTTAGAAGTACTTATTACCACTTAGAACCTTGCTGCTTTTCAGAATTGGTACACACTGGGGTAATGTGTAAGAAAAGTCTTCATGAATTCCCAACAGCCCTCAAGAACTACACTGGGAGCCCAGTGCCCCCCCTGCCCTGCCCCTCCTGTCCTCTTTTCCAGCACTGCTTGGCAAACAGCATGTGAGTAACAGTCGAAGGAGGAGTGGAAGCCCAGGATCTGGGAAAGGACGGGGCTGTGCAAGGACCTTGGTGGTGGAGGACAGTGTAGCCTGCTTTCCCCATACTGAGAGAGGGGCGTCTTCTCCTCACAGGGCTCTGTGTTTGTGTGCACACCCCCAACAGGCCGAGAATGGGGTGGGGTAGGAAGTGGGGGAGGTGCCCAGTGACCTGCAGGCTGGGGAGAAGAGGACACAGTTCCCTCTGTTTGTCACACAAGCATGAGGGGCTGAGCTTGAGCCCCGGACCTTGTGAAAAGCTGGGCGTGGTGGCCTAGGCTTCTAATCCCTCATACTGTGGAAGCTGAGACAAGTGAATTCCCCAGGCTTAATGGATAGCCAGCCTGCTTGCTCGGTGAGCTTTGGGCCAAAGAGAAACACTGTCTCAAAAAAATGTGAAGCAAAACCAAAACGAGCAAAAAGAAAAACTCAACGTAAGGTGGATGGCGTCTGAAAAAGTATACTCAAGGTCGCCCTCTGGCTTCCACATATATCCACACATCTACATGTGCACGCATGCACACACTCACACACACACACACACTCACTCACACACACACACACTCACACACACTCACACACACTCACACACACTCACACACACTCACACACTCACACACACTCACACACACACTCACACACACTCACACACACTCACACACACTCACTCACACACACACACTCACACACACTCACACACACACTCACACACACTCACACACACACTCACACACACTCACTCACACACACACTCACACACTCACACACACTCACACACACTCACACACACTCACACACACACTCACACACACTCACACACACACTCACACACACTCACACACTCACTCACACACACACTCACACACACACTCACACACTCACACACACACTCACACACACTCACTCACACACACACTCACTCACACACTCACACACTCACACACACACTCACACACACTCACACACTCACACACATTCACACACTCACTCACACACACACACTCACACACACTCACACACTCACTCACACACACTCACTCAACACACTCACACACTCACACACACACTCACACACACTCACACACACACTCACACACACTCACACACACTCACACACACTCACACACACACACTCACACACACACTCACACACTCACACACACTCACACACACACTCACACACACACACTCACTCAACACACTCACACACTCACACACACACTCACACACACTCACACACACACACTCACACACACTCACACACACACTCACACACACACTCACACACACTCACACACACACACTCACACACACTCACTCACACACACACTCACACACACTCACACACACTCACACACTCACACACACACACACACACACTAGCACCTGAGCTTGATTGTCATCTCTATTTCTAGCTATACAAACCCTTTCTGCTGCTGCCTGCATTTTGGAGCTCCTTTGTTCACAGAGGAGACTGGATGGCATGCCTCTGCTCTGAGATGCCATGGCTCAGTACATAGTAAGGACAACACAAACTGGAAAATGGTCCCTGACCCCCTATGTGAGGAGAGAGGGGCCTGCAGGCATGCATCCTACTAGCTGTCACCTCCCCAAGAGGAAGAGGGGTATGGCAAGAGACCAATGCAGCTGTTTTGGCAGGCAAGCACCAGCTCAGCTGCTAGGAGCCCTGGTCTGCTGGAAACAACTTACAAGTTCCAGACTCCTCCTACTTTCCCAGTGTCCCTCACACACTCCATTCTGCTCAGCAGAAACAACAGAATCCTACAGCTCTCACCGTGGTGGCCATATAAATTAGCTCCTGACCTTTGGAAGCATTTGGATTTGAAATCATGCCTCTGGTGGTTCACTGCGTGATGTCCCCCTTGGTGAGTAAAAGGCATGTGGCAACTTGAGTTGAGAAACGGAGACAGAATTGCGAAAACACTTGGAAAGTCTCCAAAAGAAAGGCCAGGGATGAGGTATCTTGTGACTCCCTGGGCTTTTAGCACTAGTGTTGGTAGGCAGCAGGAACTCATACGGCAATCCTCAACTCTGGAAGCAGGAGACACAGTTGTTCATTTGGATCCCATCTCACATTGGGGAATCCAGTGACTGACTTGAGACATATTCACCCCAGGGTGAGTCCCAGGGCCTTAGAATTATGTATTTAGAGCTATTCGTGTCAATGATGCTTGGTGCCATTTGATAAGAAAGCCATTGTGGTCTATGCTTTTTATAGCTTAAGTCATTCTGATTAATGCTACGGGGCTGGGGCATGAACTACTTGGGCATTTGGGCTCACATCATTCTGTACGTTCCCACGAGAGTGACAAAACGGATTACCCTTCTTAAGGACAACCTGGATGGGAGAAAAAGGCTGACCATCCCACAACGGAGAGAGTCCTCCTTACCACCCACTGCCTTCTAATTGGGACATTGGCTTTTTTTGCTTCTTTCTTCCTCCCTTTCTTTCTTTATTGAGATTGGGCCTCACTATGTAGACTGGGTGTCATAGTTAGGGTTTCTATTGCTGTGAAGAGACACCTTGACCATGGCAACTCTTATAAAGGAAACCATTTCATTGGGGCTGGCTTACAGTTTCAGAGGTTTGTCCGTGATCGTGATGGTGGGACATGCTGCTGGAGAAGGAGCTGAGAGTTCTACATCTGGATCCCCAGGCAGCAGGCAAAGTGCTGTCCTAAGCTTGGAAAACCTCAGAGCCTACCCCCTAGTGACACAGTTCCTCCAATGATGCCATACCTATGCCACATCTCCTAATAGCGACACTCCCTGTGGACCAAGCATTCACACACTTAAATCTACGGGGGAGGGAT